TCATGAAGTGTAAATCTATACTTGGCCCCAGCAGCTTGCAGAGTCTCACTTTGGGGTATTTTTGCAGAACATGGTCTCTCCATGCCCCTTGTTGGTCTGAGCAGTTAGCAGGAACAGAGAGTGGGTTTGAGTTTGGATTTTTGTGGGTTATTTATTAGTTTGAAAAGTTAGTATAAGAACATACTCTTTTTTCATAAAAAAACTTGTTCAGTTTTCTCCCTCCAATCGCTGTAGAAGCAGTAAGCTGTCTGCTAGCTCAGAAATGCCAACTTTGCCACTTGAGGGAGTTGTATTCACAAGGGGCATTCAGAAGTTTTGTCTAGTGGTTGGCACCCTGTACAAATAAAATGGTAGTGACCAAAATTGCTGCTGTTTTAGTTTAAGCATGCGTGTTATCCCAGTTTGTTCACTGTTCCATCTAGTCCCTTCGGTTTTGGTTTCCATTATTTTGAGGCGTTTTCTCAGAAATGGGCTTCTCTGAATCTTCTGGGAAGCCTGTAGTGTTTGTCACAGACTTGCTGTACCCTCACTCTCTAGCAAAGTACATCTGTGGTTCTGGGGAAACTTCTGTTTCTAATCTTCACTCCAAGATAATTTTGATGGTCTTTACTAGAAACATTTAGCCTAATGTTTGGATAATTACTTTTGCATCAGGTAGGTGGAAACATTTCTCTGTCGTCTGAAAATGGAGGCATCTCCTTTCCTAAGTGAGTTGTTTTAATTCAGCTATGTACCTGGAATGCATCCTCAACCAGTAGCCTAAAATGTTTGAGAGGCAGGAGACTGCAGTAAGAGAAGAGTATTACAATTTTTTTTCCCTCTTAAAATGAACAGTGATGGAGGGGCCTCACCAGAGAGCAAAGGACACAACTTGACATCTTAGATTTCTGTCTGATTGATTTAGCTTATGAATATGAGAATGAACAAGAATTTGAACTCTTCAGTGATACGTGCCTTAGAGCATTGTGCTCTGCTTGTCCCAAGGACAGGCTCAGATCTCTTCAGGCCAGAAATACGGGCAGAACTGTGGCCGGCTTTGCTCTGGGGCTGCGTTGCCAGAGATGTGATGGGAGTGGTGCCCTGCACTCTTCTCATGCCTGTTGAGCTTGTCTCTGGGGCTGGGAGCCCTTCCTCCTTCCCAAAGCAAGCAAGAACTCAAGGGGTGATCTAGAATGTTGTATTTCCTTTACGTTTATTATTCTATACTCTTTATGTATTTTTTATATAGTATTTACTCTTTGTTATAATGCCTGTATAACATTATTATAAAGCTATTCAACTTTTCAAGGATGTAGTTAGCTTTTTAAAATCAGGCTGATTAGATTAATTTTGTGCCTTATTCCAGTAAATAGAGGTCTTAAAAGGAGAAACAAAAATAAAGTACCTTAAAAGTTTTTAGGCTTTCTGCCTCAGTTCATTGTGTCTCTAAGATAATGTTTTCAGCAATGAATGAAGAGCATCATTTATGCTTTTGCGTCTGGCACTCCTCCTATTTTGGTCATATTTTTATATTAGTAAAATTTCCAGCAATGAGCATCCTGTCTTTTTTTCTAGAAGAACGGTTTTCTCAGGTCTGATAATACCTTTCGCTTTTACTTACGACTTGTGGAGTCATACCAGGATGCCACTGGGACGTACAGTAGCTGCAGCTTTTAAATCTGTCTTCTGGTTTGTGGCTTTTTTTGAGTGGTGATGGTTTTGTCTCTTTATTTTTTTGTTAGTGTGTTGTTTTTTTGGTGGTGGCTTTTTTAAATGTAGGAGTTATGTGAAGCTGCAGTTGCTAGCAGTAAAATGCTACAGAAGGCTGAGAAACTTAATAGGAGAGCAGTCGTTCTCAAAAATTTCTTTAATCAGAAACAATATACGGAAATGTTTTCTTCTCACTTAACCATTCTCTGAAGCTTGTGGCATGTATTATCAAAGTGTTAGTTTGATTTAATTTCAGAAAGTAAATTCTGGGGTTTTTTATAGTCCAGTGGTTGAGACCGCAGTGTCTGAGAGAAGTAGCATGTTTGGAGAACACCTACATCTGCTGACAGGCTTGTGTGACAGTAGCCTTCCTCTTTCCTTATAGATCACTGCAGTTTAGTTACAGTTGTATATTTGGTATTCAAAGTACTTGAGAGTTAGCTTTTTTCCTACTGATTATTTGCCCATGGTGGTAAGAAAAAAAAAAAAGTTGTAATAATGATGGTTGGGTTTTACAAAAACTTGCTTTTTGTCACCCTATTTGTGGTAGAGCAAAAGCTAGGTGGGTCCATACGGGTATATTCCATACATGTATTTCAGGTGAATTAGGATTCCATTTTGTAGCTGTTATATAACATTGATGAGTTTTTAGAGGTTGGCAAAGTGTCAAGCTGCCACTGATTTTGTCGTAACTGGGTACTTACCAGCTGAAGTGTTTTCTGCTTGTTCTGAGCTCTGCAAAGGCCATATAGCCAAATAAGCGTAACTAAACTTACTCCCATGAGCGGCCACTGCGAATGTGTGGTAAGCAGTCAGTTCTGCTAAGGCAGGGCAGGGCAAATGCAGTGCAGGTAGGCAGTACGTTTGCACGGTGACTGTGAGAGTCCTGGCTAGGCTGCAGTAGTCTTACTGCAGTGACAGGCGAGCTACAAAGCCTCTAATCTCGTTCTGATTCCGAGACAGTAATAAATTAATAGAAAAAAATGTGTTTGCTGTGTCGTAGCTGAGACAGCTTGGCTCAAAAAAGTACTTTAAAAAGTTTTATAGTCCTTTTTGAGAGCAGAATCTTGTTTTGAACATGAAGTCCACTGAATGCACAGCTGTGCATCCTGAGCATGTTCTGGATTGTATTTCCCACCTTTCTGCAGGTCCTGTGGAAAGGAGGAGACAGAGTGGTTGGCTCAGGGTGTTGTGAGTTAGCACAGAGCCTGCTTGCTTCAGCTCGTTCTACGCAGCGTTCTGCTCTGTCTCTGCGGCACAGGCTTGGCCGCTGCACCTATTCTGAGTGGTGTTGGTTTACGAGGATCCTTCAGTTGTTGCTTGACACTGAATTGCCTCACACAGTATGATTGTCTCATGGTTCATTAAGGGATTGAGCAAAGAAAGGGGGCTGAGGCTGGAGTTGCTCTGAAATGAATTCTGTGTATGCTCAGCGCTGAGGAATGTTGTGCGGCGGGCATGGTAATGGTCTGTGTCTGCAGGCTTGCAAGCGCATCTGAAAATTTTACATGGCATGCCGGCAGCCAAGAAGGATATTCATGTGTATATAGATATTTGCCTGCCTCACAGTGATGCTGAGACTTCATTAATATTTGTAGAATGAGTTTAATAGAAGTACAAACAAAATATTACTGGAAGGGATTGGGTTAGGCTCCTGTAATGCATTTGCGGATGTTGAGGAAGTTCCTTCTGTGTTTTGACAGGAGATGAATTTATAATTGTGTGGAAGGCAAAAAATGTGTCATCACGGATACCCAGGATATCTTTGTAAGGAATTACTCTTTTAGTTAGACACACAGAGTATGACATCAACAAAAACTATTTTGCACTGACTTTGTGCAGCAATTACTACTTCAGTATAGAGTAATCTTGCCTATACGAGCCACAATACGTAAATTCAGTTGTTATGTATATCAAAGATGGATAGTCCTGAATGTCACTGGGAACGTCCCTGGAAAATACTTTGCGATTGTCTGTTAAGTAAACACTGGTGGCTGAGTGTTTTGCCGTGAGTGTTGTAAATTCCCCTTTCTAGGAATTTTTTAGATCAAATTCGTTTTTACATTTCCTGTGAGATGAGGGAAGAAGTGAACTTGTGGTAGGAAGAGCAGTGTCAATTTGATGATTCTTCTGGCTTCTTCAGAAGCATCAATGTCTTTTGGAAGACATTATATATCCTGTGTGCCTAGGTAGGTAATGCTTTATGGAGATACACATAGTTTCAGATTAAGAAAATTTGGAGGCTCTCTTGTTCGAGAGAGAGCTGTGAGTTGCTGAGTCAGGGAAGAACCTTGTGCCTGTGTCTTCTCAGCCTTCTAAGGTTGGAGCAAAATTCCACTTCTGGGGCAACAGCGTACGAGCATGTAATTGCAGAATCACAAACCCTCGTGCTGACGTTTGGGTGACTAAGAGATCTTGAAGAAATTTAACACTTCAAGATTATAAAGGATACATATGAAAACTCACATGAATGTTGTTTTGGTTTCTTTTTAATCTAGTTTCCTTCTTAACCCTTCCAACATACTCCAGCCCTCTTACTCTTCCATACTTCTCTCACAATTATCTATTCTTTTCCATGTTATTTTCTTTTTTGGGTGGACAAGGTTTGTATTTTTTGCTTTGTCTCAGAAGATTCAGTGTATTGTGGGAGGTGAGGCAATACTGGTCTTGGCAGAACACTACAAAACCAAGAGAGTAATTAAATGACGCAAGCCTTTGATTATTTTTCTCTCTCAAGCTTTCTGGCACGGCTGGGCATTCTGATTGCAAAAGGAGGATCAGCAGAAGAAACTTCTGAAGATAGCACGTGGAAGTAGAAGAACTGTATGGGAGACTTTTTGCTACTTTAAAGCTCTTCACTCTCAAGTCCTGGAGTTGCTTCTTTTTGCCCCGTGAGGATAATGTCTCTTTCATCTTCCAAGACAGGCATAACTGAAAGGGAGCTGCCAAGGTTTTATTTTGGTTTTGGTTTCTCTGCTCCCTTAGTAATTGGATTTTTCCCGTCTTCCGCCAGAGGATTATAAAAGGATTAGAGAAGCTGGAGTTCTGGGGGTGTGGGAGGTAGCTGTTGTTTTTCTCCTCTTGATTCTGGGACCTCCTTGCCATTTCTTCCCTGAAGTTCACTGCCTGTTTGAAAAAGGGAGAAGCAGCCTAACAGATGAACTTGCACAACCATGAATTCCTTCCCTTTGCAAACTTTGTATGTGGCTGCTTGTAAAAGAGATTTTTGCATACATAAGCATCAAATAAAGCATAGCATCCTGGATTGGATTTAAAAGAAGCAAACCACTTGTGTCCTGAGGAAAGGATAAATTCTGTTTATAATTCAAAGAAGTTCGGATGTTGTTCCGGTTCTAAATTTTGGTGAAAGAAAGGGAAGGGTCTGATTGAGTTAAATACTTCACCAGCCTAAACCTACATATTCTGCAGGTGAAACTGGAAGATGTCTTGGAAAAGAAATTATTTTTCTGTGGGTCGGGGGAATGTACAGGGCATGTTTACCCCACGGAATACAACCTCAATAGCACCCAGTAAAGGTCTCAGCAATGAACCAGGACAGAACAGTTGCTTCCTGAATAGTGCGCTGCAGGTAAGAACACAGAATAAAAAAATGTTTGTTTCTGTCCTTTGTCTGTTAGCCAGGATTGACTGGCTACATAATAGTTTTTGGGCCTACACAGAATGAAGCTACATTTGAAAATGTGGATTAGTTGAGTTGTAGAACAGCTTTTTTAAGTTTTCAGGCTTTCCTCGTGAAATTAACAGCATTCGTAGTCACAGTTAGTGTACTTGAATCTCTTTTTTGTGTAAGCTTGTTGTATGTCAGACAAAGATGAAAATATATGTGGAAAATTATTTCAAAATAATAGAATATTGTATAGCTTGCAGTAGTCTATTCCTTAAGGTCTTTGTTGAACCAGTCAAGTTTAGGGTTTGATAGTACCTATACATAATCCTTTTGATGTAGTCCAGTTTTCTTTCTAACTGCTTATTTGTAGCTTAGTTTAGATGGTTTGACTCTTTACCTTTTGGTTTAGAAGTAAAACCTTTTCCTCTGTCAGAATTTAGTGGAGTGGTGTGGCTGCGAGTGGTGATGTCACCACTTAGGTGTTCTGAATGTTTGATGGTGGAGATTTAGCCCTTGTGGCTGAAGGGTTTAAAGCTCTTTCTCCACATGAGTTTTCCATCCCTTCATGTGCCTTGTCTGTAGGACAGGCTGTGTCGCTGGTTTGGTTTTTTCCCCTCGTGGCCATGATTAGGTTCTAAGCTAACTTCGGCCTTCAAGAAACCCCCGTGGTGCACATAACACAAACACCAGTGACCCTCAATAGGCTTAATATGCCATGAAATATGAGACTGGGTACAAAGAGTAATAATAATAAAAAAGTAGAGTTTCCAGCGATGTACTGTATTAGTTTCTTCTGTTAAGGCGTAATCTCTTTTTGCCTCCTAATACTGAGTTAGTGAACATAGATCAGAGCTAAGTAGAGCCTAACACCAGCTGCAGGCCATACATGAAGATGCAAGTAAACAACTTGGCCTTTAGTCTTCTACATAAACTGTTTTCTTCTAAAGCTCAGGATCAGACACCAAAAATATTTATGGGCAAAGCTGACTTTAAGAAAAAATCAAGATGGCAATAATTTCATAAAATACTTCTAGTTTTTTTAATATTCATTTTTAAACAATAATTTCATAAAATACTTCTAGTTTTTTTAATATTAATTTTTAAACATTCAGTGTTAGCCTGACGGTCTCTTGAATGCTTATTGCTCCTTTTAGTATTTCTATAAACATTCAAGATAAACTCCAAAGGCAATTACATTGAAAAATTGGACTTATTTTTTTGTTCTTTTGTGAAGTCTGCAGTAGTTCTTCAGGAATGTTGATGCCAAGGCTCATGTTGCCCCCAAACCCTTAAGTATAGAGTGAACTTGAATATAAACATAGCTGTGATAATTCTGAAGTTTTTGACAACTTTGCAGAGCCAGTTGCTCTGGAGAAATTCATCAGAAATAAAAAGTTTGTTCCTCTGTTTATGCTAATGAAGTCTTTAGCTAGTCAGATGCCAGCCTAGACCTTTCCACGCTGTCCGGAACCTGGCAGGATGCAATTTAGGTCAGGACTTCTTTCAGTGCAAGCTTCTACCTCCTGAAAGGCTGGTACCTCTGAGGCTTACAAGAAAGTCCAATTATTGTTAGCTGAGGCTGAAATAGCCAGTGCTGACAGCATTTTCTATAAAGAGCTGACTGTGAAACATCTCAGAGATCAATATTGTTTCTATCTTACAGACATGAATTTAGATAATTGCCCAAGATGCCACAGATTCAGTGGTAAAAATGTAAGAACAAGCTTGGTGCTGTTATGTCAAATGTTGCCCCTTGCTGTTGCTCGCTTGCTTTTATAAGCTGTGACCATGCCTGGTCACAGACCTGGTATTACCACTGTGCCTGTCCTGAGAGAAGGGTGTAACTGCCCACACAGGTCAGCGTTAGAAATCTGCCAGGAATCACGGCGTGTAAGTGCTTACCAGCGATAATATTGGGCATAATGCCTTTTTGTAGTTTATCATTTTGACTTGCAAGAACTTGTTAATGTATATGTTGTTGGTGCTTCACTTTTCTAGCATTTGGGCTTTCTGCTCAGAACCAGGAGGCGGCTGAGGAGATGGAAGGACAGGCGAGTTTCAGCCCTGATGGGCGGTGGGTGCTCTCGGCAGCTCTGCCCAGCCTCGCAGTGAGGCTGCGCCGTGTCCGGCCGTGGTGCCAGCACAGGGGAGCAGTTGGGGCAGTGCTGCGTAAGCTGCCACACAGACAAAGAAGCAAATTTTTTTAATCTAAAGACACAGGGCAAGAAATTCAGAGGGACATCCTACTGTTAATTAATGTATGTAAGTGCTACAGCTGAGGAAGGAAGATGGAAATACTAACTTCCAGTTAGATAACAGGCATCCTGTTTTAAAAGTGCTGTTCACTGACATTAGTGTGTTTCTGGGGTTATTTAGCTTGTGCGATTTTAATCAGAGCTTTATGCAGTATTCTGTACATTCATAAAATTGGCTGTGCCTCTTGCTGTGTTTCAGGTTCTCTGGCACCTGGACATTTTTCGCCGCAGTTTCCGGCAAATCACAACGCACAAATGTATGGGTGATTCCTGCATCTTCTGTGCTCTTAAGGTAAAAGCTGAAAATAAATTAAAAAACCCCATTATTTTAAAAAGGCAACAGAAATATTTCCAATACTTGATTAATATGTGTAATGAAACTTGCATCTGGAAATTTGTGAGAACAAAGGTAAATCTCATAGATGCTGGCCCAAGACACTCATGCTATTGTTTTTAAAATATGTTCAGGCCAATAAATTGTAGAAGAAATACTGTAGCTAAAGTTTCAGATTCAAGGACTCTTACCAGTGGAGTGCGAGCCATTGTGAGCCCATTGTGGTGTTTGAAAGAGTAGTTCAACCAGTAAAACATCAATTTGTTTTGTAGTGTTGTGGTTTTTTTAATTTGTCATTTGGCTTACAAATATTGTACTGTACATAGTTAGTATGCTCTTCACATGTTACCTTTCCTTCAGAGCTACTCTAAATGTCACCATGGAGAAGGCCATTTAGCTTTATGCCTTTCTGTTTAAAACTGCTGATTATGTAAGACTAAAAGGTATTTTCTGCTATAAATATTGATGTCAGCATTAAATGGCTCAGCTCTTCCTGGTGTCTGTTTTAAAAAATATCAATTCTGTTTGTAGATATAGATACAGTAAATAACTGACATAGATGCTGCCTGGACAGTAAGATCTAGATGTTAGCTCTGAGTATGAGTGCTGTTACGTACTAGAGGAAATTGTGTGATCCTGCATCTCCATTTGTCTCTCTACCCATTTTTTTTTTTTTTAGCACTTCTGGGTTTTTTGTGCCTTCCTTTCTAAGTTTTGCTCCCTCTAACCTTGTGGGAGAAATGGACATGATGGAAACACGATGAAAATACCGGCTTCAATCTTCCTGAGCATTGATTTTTCTTTCTGAAATTGGGACTAAGACATTTTCTTTGATCACAAATGAGCTACAAAATTAATTGTGGGAGAATTTATTGTGTCTTGAATTCTGTGTGCAGTAATGAAAAGGACAAACAGCATGTCTCATAAATATGGCAGAATAGAGGTTTAAATTGAGATCATCTGAAATTCACAGGCATTATTTACAGTATAGTGGCTGTCTTGCTACTGTTAAGTGACTTCCTGGGTGCTCTGATAGAGACAGACTTGAAATGAGTTACCTAGTGAGATTTTGGACTGTTACTGATGGATTTTCTCTTGCAGAAGAACAGCAAAGCAAGACTAGCGAGGCATGAAAGAAGGGAAGAAATTTCGTTTTGAAAGGAAATTTGTCTCAGCATCTATCTGTTGGAATGACGAGACAGGATGATATTTACAGCAGTATCTTCAGAAGAGGATGTAACAGTAGGTTAGGAGCAAGTGATAAATACAACTCTCCAGACAAAGAAAAGACGGAGTATTAAATATATGCCCTTCCTTATAGCAAAGTGACAGGGCTTAAGCATGATCTACTTTGAATTCATTAAGTTCAATGTGGTAAATAATTTGAAGCTAATTCTTAGATCATGCCCTTGAGTATTGCCAAGTGATTGTTGATGTTTTCTGGTAGCAGAGATGAGGACAGAAAGAAAAGAATTTAGGAAATTATCATGAGTATAAGCCTCTGCTGTTCTGGGATTTAACCTAACGGCAAGATATGGCAAGAAAATACCAGGAGATCAGACAGTTTCTGCCACTTGAATGAAAGCAAACTGGACTGTGAGGCAGAGTTGAGAGTTTTTATATAAAGAGAGTGGTTAAAGGTCTTTTTCTGAATGAGATGTTATAGGTGAAAGGAGATTATGAACCTTTGTGGAACTGGTATTGAAAGATGAGCTCTAGGCCAAGATGCATCTGGATTAGCAGTATCGGTATGCGGGGAAAGCACTATAGTAAGACTGAAGATGACAGAATATCTGGAATATATGTGTTAAAAGCAGACATGGGGTCAAAAAGTGTTCAGTTTTGTTGATAACATCCTTGCTTTTGACATCTTGAAGTGTACAGTATGCTATTATAAACTTGGAAGTGACAGGTAGAGTGGCAGAATTCACAAATAGTATGCCTGCAACCACATGCTTATTTTTTTTAATTAAGCAGCCTTTGGAAAAAAAATGCTGCTCTGTCTTCTTGCTCCCAGATATCTGCAAGGACTTTTTGTGTTTGTTTCATATCTGAAATTCTTACCAGTGCTATGCTTAGCCAGAAGGTGTTACAAGCCTTAGTTTCCAACAAAGCTGTAGTCATAGAATCATTCAGGTTGGAAAAGACCCCTGGGATCACTGAGTCCAACCACTAACCCTACTCTACAAAGCTCGCCCCTAAACCATATCCCCCAACACCACATCTAAACGATCTTTTAACACATCCAGGAATAGTGACTCAGCCACCTCCAATGTCTGACTACTCTTTCTGTGAAAATATTTTTCCTAATGTCCAGTCTAAACCTACCCTGTTGCAGTTTGAAGCCCTTCCCTGTTGTTCTATCAATAATTACCTGTGAGGAGCAACCAACCTCTCTACAATGTCCTTTTAGGTAGTCGTAGAGAGTGATGAGATCTCCCCTTAGCCTCCTCTTTTTCAAACTAAACAGGCTCAGCTCCTTCAATCATTCTTCTTAATATTTATTCTCCAGGCCCTTCATGAGGAAATTTGTTGCAGCAAATCCTCTAATACATCTGCACATTTTAGAAAAGTTGCATCTAGTTATGTGCAGAATTCCTATAGCTCACACAAGTCAGTGTCCCATAAAAAACTCTGAAGATCTGCATGAACAAGTAAAGAATTACCTAGACAAGTATTTCTGAATACAGGCAGTAACCAGTACTTGACAAAATAAAGAAATTAATTCCAACTGACTTTAATCCAACCCAAAATGTTAGTGTTTTCTCTACCAACAGTCTGTTCATCATGAGAAATTTTCGGTGTGTTCTACCCACACCTATTCCAGAAATCTTCAAAAAGTTTACAGATGTCTGTAATGTGTAGAAATTTATTTTGTTAGAACTGTTTTACTCTTAATTCCCTTATGTTCATAAAGCAGCTCACAGTTTTGTATTTTTGTCTTGGTGATAGCACAAGAAGTTTCTCCCTTAACTTGTGTAAAATGTTGATGTGTGTAGATAAATACTTGAAAAAATGTCCCCATTGTTGTTATAAAGCCAAATAATAGTATAAAGGTGAGTAATAAAGCGTGTTACTTAACTCTAAGTGAAATTGGGGATGCAAACCTCCTTTTAACTACCAATAAAACCCACTGTGTGTCAGGAACATAGGTTGTCTTGCTTTTGTGCAACTGAAAAGGTAAGAATACTAAATGATAAAGGTATGTGTGGAAGACAGCACCAAACCATCACAAGATGTGATCCAAAGACGGTCGCATTCGTCTTCATAAACTCCAAGTAGGTGGTGGAGGGATAAAAAAAAGGCTCTTTGACGTATTTATTTGTTCTCTGCTGCCCTCTGGACGAGTATTCTCAAACTGCTCCGGGTTTTTTCCCAACTCTAAAAATCTGGCAGCTTGGCATATACGGTCTGTGTAAATTTGTGTAAGAGAATCGGGATAATGTGCTTAATATGCACCAAGTACTGCAAGTGTCACCAAGAGCCCTTTTTGTGTCCCAGTGTGGCAGCATCATCCCTTCTCTACTTAGTTCTTCCCCTGCCCCAGCCCACGTATCTACTCTGGAAGCCTTGAACTCTTGTCCTGCCAGGGTAGTAGCAGCCCAGCCTCCAAGTCTTTGACATGGCCTTTCTCCTGAACCTTGCCTTAGGCTTGGCTAAGGTGAGGGACAAAATATGGCCGGATCAAGTGGGAACACAATAATTTGAAGCTCGATACCATTCAAAAATCTCCCATTAGGTTCTGGGGAGCTGTAATTAGCATTGCATACTGTCAGGTAGATCTGCCCAAAATACTTGTCCGGACCAGGCAAGGTGGAGGCAGAATGCATTCCGTTTATTCTTCTCAAAAGCATTCTGGCATGTTCAGATTCCTCTTGGCCTGGGAAAGGGGCTCTATGTGCAGGGAAGAGTCTACATTGTGTGCCCCCCGCCCTAGTCCAGGTTCTCTTTGAGGAGACCTGATACCTCCTGTGCTGGGCAGAGAGGGTTCACGATCTTCCCCTTAAAACCACTGCTCTAAAGGCACCATTCTCTTCCCATGGACTTCTAGAGGAAGATGGTCTTCACTAAGCAAAATGTAGCCTTTAAGTAACACCAAAGAAGTTGTATTTTTAGCCCCGCTTTCTTGGTTTGCTGAAACAGCTTCTAGGGATTCTGATGTCATACACAGTATTTACTGTAAATGCTCAGCTAGTTCTATGAGTATTATTTGTAATTTTAAATTATGTTTTATAGAATGAGGGGTCGTAGGGCAGTGATGTCATGTGATAACAAATCACATTTTTTTACCACATTAAAGACATCTGTTGTACAAATTCTTGAAGTGATTTTCGACCTTCATGAGCTGCCTGGCTATGTTTATGTGGCTACAAAATGAACCTTGAAGTCATTCCAGACATACGTTTATTTTGAAGGAACCTTACATCAACAGCTATGAAAAGACAAGGGAGAGCTGCAGACTCTGTGCTGGAATCCCGAACACTGTTCCTTAAGATGTGGCATTACTTAAGTGTTTTTTTCAGTGCACAAGCTGTCCTTACCACTATGTGGTTTGCCTGCAGTAACACTGGAACAGCTTTTTGATTTATTATTAATGTTGAGGTCTACTGTATTCTGTTTTATTTTCCTTTTCTAGAGCATGACTTTGCTTTGGTGTTTATCACAGCTGGAAGAAGGCAGGAAGGGGGAAATCCGTCCGCTGTGCTGAGCATGCCATAGAGAGTTCCTTCTCCTTCCAGGGATTGTACTGGGACCTCCATAGTGCCAGTATATAGGACAGAGTGTTTTTTGTAGTTTGCAAAGAAGAATGCTCTGTTGATTGATAAATTCCAGTAGGACTGGTCTTTTCTGTAATTTAGTCATGTGCAACAAAAGCAGGAAGAATGTGAATTTTCTGTGAAGAAATGATGTTGTTTTCTAATGTGAAAACTGAAAACAATAGGGTCTTAGAGTGATTT